TCTTTTTCTTTTGTTTTGTTTATTATGAATTTATGTTCATGGAGTTGAGGTGGAGGAATTTTTGATGGAATTAGAAGTGAAAATTTATGTAACGCAAATTTTGGGTTGTTTGGAAAATGTATGTGAACCAAATTTTGGGTTGAAAATTTGTGACCCATCATTTACAACCTTCCTAGAGGCAACTCACCCACCACCTATTTGACAAAATTCCTCACCCAAACTAAATTATGGTGTTTAGAGCAGTTATGTTAAGCAAAATATGGATTGTATATAAGGTTTATGTGAAGTAATTTCTTGGTTATATTGAAGAATTATGAAAAGAAAATTTGATCTAACAGAAGAATTATGTATAATCTTTTTATATGGAAGATTTTGATATAGGGAAGAATTATATAAAATGTTATTGTACAAAAGATTTAAGTTTAATTTTTTATTCATAATATCATATGATATTAATTTATTTATTATATTTGTAGATTTATTAATTAACAGATGTGTCACTGGCAAAAATACCCTTTTTACTGTTAAAATTAACATTTGAATTTAACAATGGGTAGAAAAGTGTTGTTTTGAAACTTGGCGGGTGGGCAAATGTCGTTTCGCTAAATCCTCCCATTATTTCTAAGGATATATCTTCTGTGCTCTGTTTCTTTTTAGTGGGATCATTTTTGTCAGATTGCAAAACCCCCTTCTCCTATTTAATGGGCTTCTTATTTGGGTTTTATTTGAGAAACCCCCTAACTTTACCTAATTTGGCCCAATTAACAATAGACCCAGCTTCCTTATTAAATTCTCTTATAACCATATCGAACTATGGGAATTCGATTCTTTTTTATTTATAAAAAAAGAAAAATATATATTATTACGAACCATTGGATTTAAATTCCAGGACCAGCAATAACATTGCTGATACTTACTAGTCAATATTTCCATAAGAATAATACTACACATACATCATTTTCATATAACATTATGTGACAATATATGATTGGGTGAAAGTTTAATTTAAACTTTAAATTAGTCCATCATATATTGCCACATAATGTTGTATGAAAATGATGTATATATAGTATTATTCTTTCATAAAGTAAATATCAAAGCATTTTTTTAAGTTTATTTTCCCCCTACAGTATCACGAAATAACAAACTCCCCCTCAAGTATTTGAAATAATAATTTACCTTTTATAGTCACCTTTTCATTAGTGTTTTAAGTCTGATACATTTTATACTTAATTGGTAAAATACAATCATTAAACAGTAAAACCCTACTAGAATACTCACGACAATGTTTAAGCTGTTAGTTATGATACTTTAGGGGTGATTTTGAAACTTTTTTTTTTTGGGGTTATATGTGATTTGTGAAGCCGCGTAATGCAGTTTGAAAAGTTCAAGCAAAACATTTGGACTGAAGTGATTTTTAAGAAGACAAACATTCTTGGCTCCGTTTGGTTCTCAATTTTGTGTTTTTGGGAAAAGTTTTTTAAAAAAAGTTAAAAAAAAAGTTGAATTGGGCGGGTATTACGATGTAGGATTTATAAATTATAAAATACCCCCTATTTTTTTTTTACAAAATACCCCCTATAATAAAACATTAAAAGTTAACAAAAACACCCTCAACCCACCCTCAAATACGGACAGCCGGCCACCACCGCCGGAGGGTGGCCGGAGTCGCCGTATCGAAGCATTACCGGCTGGATCTTGCCAGTTGTGCGTCGATATGACCTTTTTCGATCAGATCCATTGTGGAATTGGTCGGCAAAGGCTAGATCGGGCTAGATCTGGCCATATTTTCTATTCAACGACAGCCAACAAACGGTCGTCGTTGATGGTCAACGACGACAGTTTGTTAGTCGTCGTTACCGATTGGTTACGGCCAAAGATCTGGCCGTCAACGGCCAGATCTTTGGCCTTAGATCTTGTCTTTTCAGGCTAGATCCACCGTGGATCTGGCTGGAAAATGCTAGATCGCTGCACTACCAGTCAGATTCAGCCGGTAGTGCACCATCTTACTAGATTCCGGCCATTTTCCGACAATGGTGGCCGGAATCTGGTAAATGTGGATTGTTGGGGTGTTTTTGCAATTTTTTAAAAAATATTTAGGGATATTTAATTAAATTAACAAATTTAGGGAGTTTAAAAAAAATTGAATAATATTGTGAGTTTTTGGGTATTTTACTATTTAACTTTTTTGAAAATACTAAAAATAGTATTCCCAAAATGCAACCAAAGGAAGCCCTTATTTTTTTCGTGTCGGTTTAACTCTGGTTAGGCTTTTGGTTATTAAATTATTCAGAAGCTGGGTTTGAGAGCATCAACATCAAGATTTTTCAACGACAAGTCACATTTTACACAGCCATTGATCTGTAAAGTTTCCCCATTATTAGTTTGAGATAATTAATTAAACATGGACAGCTTGCATTAAATTAATAAATTGATTTCATAAATATTGGAGTCAAATTTATCAATATGGGTGCAGGATTTAGAAGTAAATTAAGAAGCATAAAATATAAGATTGATTGGGGGAATAAAATATTTTCTTATTAGCTAGATTAGTTATTCTCAAGTGAAAACGTCTATGTATTTTATTTTCTTCTTGTGAGATCCATTAATGATAAATTTAACCGTGATTTTCAAAAAAATATCAATTATTTCTCTTGCCTTTTTGATACTTCTATAAAGTTTTATTTATTTATTTATTTATTTATTTTTTATTTTTTATTAAGAACAATGTAAGGGTTTTCAATAATTCAGGTATATAGTAACTTTTAATAATCATAGGTATTTTTAATACTAGTCGGGTAAAGAAGTTAATTCGAATCTTAAAGATATACAAGTAGTTCATGGTAAACCTTTATATTTTAAATATCAAGATTGGCCATAGGTTTACTTTTGCTTCATTTGTACTTCAAGTCCGTATTATAGATTCGTACCTGAAAATTTTCGTTGGTCTAGTAAGTTCTAGTTTTAAACCTAGTAATATAGTCCAAATCTAAGAATCGATTGATAACATTATCTGATTGGTACATCAAATTTCAACTAGATTGAATGACAAAAGAAAAACACATGATCACTTTTATCAATCTTCTATTTATAACAATTACATCGATCGAACCAATAAAGTTATTGTGCCCCATGAGAAAATATGTGTGTTATAGATCTCAAGAGCCTGATAGGGTGCAATAATTGGTGGTCCAGATCATGTGTTTGATGCAAAATTGTCCGGATTTGGTGATTTCGTGAATGAAAACAAGACAATTCAGAGATCAAAATAAACATTGAAGTGAGGAGCTTTTGTGTTGTTATGTGTAAGTGTAACCCGTGAACATTAGCTATGGCAGCTTCCAAACTGCCAAAACAAGGCCTTTATCAACACCCTATATACTACTTGCCAAACAACTCCTTCCATTCAACCAACCATACGATATATACGAACATAATTTATGTAATTTATCATAGTATTCATAATATTATTAGATCAATCAATTAATAATATAAGATTTATATCAAGTTATATGTTATTATATGGTTATGCGAAAATCATAAAATGCGGGCGTCCATATTGTTTTAAAAACAGGTTTTTTGTTTACCAACATTAGTAAATATAATTAATGTTACTCATGAAAGGTTAAACAAGTCTATATATGTTTAACTGTCACAAGGTTTCGGATTCGAGGTTCATGTCTCCTCATGTGTACCTACATAGCTAGAAGCTATTATTCTTTGTTCTCCAAAGATTGTAACTTGAAGGGTTCGGTGAACACGCTCACAAACTCGTGTTCACAAAACAATACAGGGGATTTTTGCATTATTTATATATATAGTATAGGGGATTTCTACGTTATAAAAAAGAAAATATTGTGAACAAATAAGAATTAATAACTTTATGTATATACAGTATATAGCAATGAATTTTATAAAGAGTTGTAAGGTTTAGCCAGGCTCACAAACTCGGGATCACAGAACAATAAATATATATTGAAGATTTTTGCATTACATAGAAAGAAACAAAAAAACATTAGTAAATGAATAAGAATAACTTTATATATATAGCACTGAATTTATAAACAATTGTCTTAATTTGTACTTTAAGAGTACACATGTACACGTTAAGACTATTATAAAGAAAAAAATTTGCTTATTTTGATATATATTACATTAACATATTAATTTTTTTCATATTTTTATGATACTAGGGTGATAACCCTTTTATAAAAAAGATTTATAATGATCAAATTTCCTACCAATCTTCGAAACCAATAATATTTTTTTAAGAAAAATCAAAGTTTAATTAACACCATAAAAACCACTACATCTTAAAATAAAAAATAAACCTACGCTTTTTCTTAGCTTCACCTAATCAGAAGAAACTCATTCACATTTACTCAACTTCTCTCTCTCTTCTTCAACAACTGAACCAACACATTTATATAAATATCAATCACCAAAACAACTTGTGTTCTTCACTCTCTCTCCAATGGCTTCCACCATTCTCATCTTCCTCCTCTCCCTCCTCATATCTGCCTCCGCAGACTCAAACTTCATCCAAAAAACCTGCAAACTTACCAAGCACTACGACCTTTGCCTCTCCTCTCTCAAATCCAACTCAACCAGCGCCAGTGTGGACGCCAAGGGCCTGGCACTCATCATGATAGGTGTCGGAACCGCCAACGCCACCGCGACGTCTACATACTTGTCGTCGCAGTCGCTCAGCAGCGCGTCCAACGACACCGTCCTGAAGAGGGTTCTCAAAGAATGCGCAGACAAATACTCGTTTGCCGCCGATGCTTTGCAGGATTCGGCTCAATACTTGGCATCGGAGAATTATGATTACGTCGCAGTGGACGTCACCGCGGCGGCGGATTATCCGAACGCGTGTCACAATGCGTTTAAGAGGTTTCCGGGGCTGGTTTACCCGCCGAAGATTGCTCGGAGAGAGCGGGGTTTGAAGGAGATTTGTGATGTGATTCTGGGAATTCTTGAACATATTGCCTGGTGAAGAAATGAAAATGTATGTTTTCTGAATTTTTTTGTTTTTNTTATTCTCAAATTCTTACTATATTGACCTAGTGTTTCTAATGCCTAAGCTGAGCACAATTTTGTGACAGGACCATTGAAGTCCCAAGCTCCCGTATTGTTATTATTGAGGGCATCTATGCTTTGAGTGAAAGGTTGCGACCTTTACTGGATCTTCGTGTATCTGTTACTGGGGGGGTTCATTTTGACCTTGTCAAACGAGTTTTACGGGACATACAACGTGCTGGCCAAGAACCAGAAGAAATAATCCATCAAATATCTGAAACGGTTTTTTTTTTTTTTTTAATTTAATTATTATACATCTTTATAATGCAATGTTGAATAGTATTGTCTTGTAGATATACTCAGTTCCTTCTTCTCTACAGGTGTATCCAATGTACAAGGCCTACATTGAGCCAGATCTCCAAACAGCTCATATAAAAATAGTAAACAAGTTCAATCCTTTCACTGGATTCCAGAGTCCCACTTATATTTTAAAGGTTATTCTCCCCTAATGGCTGTTCTACTTTTTGTATTTTTATTGATGTTGAAGCACCATTGATTCAAAAAGCTTTAGCTGATACGAAGGGGCCCACTGATAATTACTTGAACTTTAACACGCCTAGTCACATGCACATATGGTTGAACTAAATTAATGGACTTGTCCCTTGGATCCCAGTATGCACTAAATACTCATGGATTCTGATAATAAGTCCAACTTGCTCCATGTTATAATTTTATTTTTGGAGGGAAATTTTAAAATAAGACCTTTTGGTTTACTTGACTTTGATACCATATTCAACACATAATTCCAAAACTTTAAGCTAACAAGAAAGGTTTAACAATAGCTTATGTACTATTCTATAGCTCTTTGGATAGCTTTTTTGATGTCTAAATTGATATATGGGGGCTTCTTTTATTGTAGTCAGCGAAGAATTTGTCAGTGGATCACATTAAGTCTGTTGTTTCTGAAGAACATACAGAAACAGAAGAGCAGACATATGACATATATCTACTACCTCCTGGTGAAGATCCAGAATCTTGCCAATCATATTTGAGGATGCGGAACAAAGATGGAAAATACAGTCTCATGTTTGAGGTTTGCCTCTTTCTTTATCATTGCAATCATATGTTCTGCATATGATTATAGCATACAGTGTTTCTTAGAGTAATATTTTGTCATCAAATTGTATGTGTTTCCTTTATGCCTGACATGGTGCTAAAGACATTTGTCTGAGTTATTGGCAGTGGAAATATATATTTATAAGGGCATCTGATTTGACAGTTTGTAATTTTTGTAGGAATGGGTGACAGATATCCCATTCGTCATATCGCCACGGATTACTTTTGAAGTCAGTGTGCGTCTTCTTGGTGGGCTTATGGCCTTGGGATACACGATAGCAACCATCCTTAAAAGAAGCAGCCATGTGTTCTCTGATAATAGGGGAGTGTGTGTGAAAATTGATTGGCTAGAGCAACTTAGTCGCCAATATATTCAGGTACTGTTAAGTAACTTCCATGTCTTGATCTACTTTTTGGGGGTTCTTAAACGGTAGTTTGATTTCTATTGAAAATTCTTCATGGTTGAAAACCCTGGTGCTTAAGTGATAATGTCAATTTGTTCATTTAGATTGTATTGTAACTGAATTCTTTAACTTGACAGTTATTTAAGATATGTTTGCAGTTTTTTCATGTCTTGTTTCTTTTTTAAAGTTTTTTATTTCATATTGATATTGCTTTTGGATGAACGGCATAATGTGATAGCAGTGTGATTATATACAAAGAAATAAGAAATAGGATCTTGAATTAAAATTGTGCAAAATCAGAACTTTTTCTTTTTTTAATTGTGGCTGAGTTATGGACGTTGAAAATTTTTAGTATGGTTTCACTTTTGATTCCCACCTTGCCCCATGAGACTCCAAATGTGAGTTTTGACACTGATTTATTACCTAATGTTCCCTTTTAAATTTTTGAGGCATACTCAAGAGGAGGGACTAAATATCCATTTAGAAAATACATGGTTTAATGTCTTCTGCTGATTTAAATGCTACTAGTTTATCTTTTATATATATATGTATATAAATGCTACTAGTTTATCTTATATATATATATATATATATATATAGAGTAGTTCCCAAGTCAGGTTTTATTAGGACGATGCTCTTATATACCGTTGAATTTATCTCAATGGATTAAAATGATATTTTACAACTCAGAGCTAATAGTATATAAGCATGGTCCTGAGAAAATTATATCAAGACTTCCTGACTAGAAAATTATCGTGTATATATGCCTAAGTGGTGAACGTTTATGAAAACTGTACTAACAGTAGCCTTCTTGTAATTTGTAAAATAGGTGCAAGGGAAAGATCGGTTAATTGTAAAATATGTTGCAGAGCAGCTGGGTTTAGAAGGCTCATACATTCCTCGCACCTATATAGAACAAATTCAACTGGAAAAGCTTGTAAATGAAGTTATGGTATGACAAATTCCAAAAGCTTATTATCTTGCTCCTATTTTAGTAGTCCTAATCTGATCATTTGACAGGCCTTGCCAGAAGATTTAAAGTCGAAGCTCAGCCTAGATGAGGATCTTGTTTCAACCCCCAAAGAAGCTCTTTCACGGGCCTCTGCTGATAGGGTTGCCATGAGAAATAAGAATCTCCAAAGGTACACAGTTCTTCTACTAGTGTGTTTTGTTGTTACTGTTTACAGTGATGAAGCTTCCTGTAACAGTTGGCCACCTTAAATAATAGTGCACTGTGCTAACATTTTGCAGTGGTATGTCACGGTCGTATTCAACACAAAGGGATAAGGCTCTGTCGAAGCTTATGAGCTTATCTATAAATAAACAGAGGTTTGATGATAGAAGTGGGGAGTCACAGACAACGCTAGCGAATCAGGTAAGGATGTCCTTCCATTTCTAGGTTGTTTTTACATTGTTCTGCTGATCCAGTGCTAAGCTTACGTGTTTTACCAATCAATCAGTTGTCTTTTCCTTTATTTTTTTTCTGCATCTGTAGGGAGTCATCACTCAGCTTTCAGAACAGATCTCCTCACTAAATGACAGAATGGATGAGTTTACAACTCGTATTGAGGAGTTGAATGCCAATTTAACAATCAAGACAAATTCTACCAGCCAACAAAATATGGCTCTCCAGACTGAAGTGTGCAATGGCTCTGCTCCCACAAATTACTTCATTTCAGGTTTAGGAAACGGTTCCTTGACTGGTTCTAGAATGCCTAATTCCTCATCATCCTCCCAGTTGGCTAAGGAGTCGCCTTTAATGGAAGAGGTATCATGGCTGGTCTTTCATATCCTTTCTGTCAAAATATTGTCACTGTTCTCTTTGCATCTTTTTGGGTTAAGATGTGAAAGATAAATTGCTGAGGTCGGAGATGAATTTGAATGTTAGACTGCGGGCTGCTGCTGCCAAATACATCAAAGCCACCATATTGTTAGGGTTTTAGTATGGTAGTGCCAGTTTAATGAAGTTACGTATATAGAGGTTATTTAACAAATGAATAAAAAGAATAAAGAAAAATGATGCTGGTAGACAGAAGGTTGCATTACATTGATGCGTATATAAATTTTTACATGTTAGGGAATTGACAAGAATTGTTTTCTCCACCGTTGTTGAAATATGATGATGAAACCTGCTCCTCATCACTTAACCCATTTGTGTGATAGATAGAGATAAGGAGAGGGGGGAAAGCAATCTTAAGAAAGACAATTTGCAGAAATTTAGGAAGTAAGGAAACAGTTTATATCATATTGCACCTGTTGCAGATACAAAATAGGTTATGTCCCACTATTTTGGTTGGTAGTCAGGATGCATTTTTCCTTATTGTTGTCGTGGTACATCAAGCTATAGGATGTTGAGATATCTTAGGTCAAATTACTTCCAGCTGTCCCGAGCAATATAGGATTTCTAAAATTGTGAAGCCAATTTCTTCTTTTAGCAAGCTGTTGCCAATAGACAGTGCCTCTGTGTAATGAATTGGTATAAAAATGATCATTTGGTCAAATATCAATCAAGAGCTGTACTTTGGATGTTTTATTATGGTTTAGCTTTTGAGCTACAATATTTGTTGGCTGTCTTATTAATTTTTCAATCTGCTCCTTGTCTGTTTGCAATCAGATATCAGGTATTGCACGGGCACAACGTCAAGTCATGCATCAGTTGGATAGTCTCAGCAATCTTCTTCGCGAGAGCATGGGGGAGAGATCTCGCCAAGTAAAGAAAACTGAAAGAAGTATAACTGCTGATGTTGAACCCATCAAAGTTCGTCTTATTTTAAGTTTGGCAATTGGTGGTTTAGGAATCTTGTTGTTTAAGGGCTATCTAACCCGAAATTGATTGAGTTGTGAATATTAGTTCACCTTTTTAAGCAAAAAGTGTTTTGAATGCCACCCTTCAGCACGGGAAGACAGTCAAAACTGATTGACCATTTGTTTTTAGGGTAGAGAGTATTTGAAGCAGCAAAGAGTAGTTTTCAAGGTCTCTTTGAGTTCTTCAAAGAAGGGATGCTTAAGCAAATTTTGTAACTCATTTGGCAATGTTTTATTTGTTACTTACAACCTTCTAGAGATAAATTTAATACCAAAAAAAAAAAAAAAAAAGAGCAAGTTACAAATTTTCAGATGAGTTGTTTTGCTACTCCCATCTTTTATTTCATCAAACTGAGGATTAAAATATTTAGGATTTATGTCTTTGAAGTGATTAGTATTTATTGAAGTGGAAAATGGTTTGATAATGGTGATTGGACTTATGGCATGTTTACTTACAGTTACAGGACATTCCCTTGTTTACTGTCAAAACAAAATAGGGGAATGAGCATTCCTTTGAATGCCATTCCCCAAAATAGGGAGTCCGATTTCATATTTGAGAGGAAGAAGTATTCCACAGGCAAGGAATGGGCAAATTCAATCCTTGCCCCTGTTTTAAATAAATATATCTATGTTATTCTTTTTGTAATTTATTTACGTATGAATTATTTAATAGTCTAAAAATAACAAAATAATAATTTGTATTTAAAAATTAGTAAAATAATTCTATTTAAAAGTATAAAATACTTTGTTTTAATTAAAAATAGAAAAAATTTAAAAATGAAAATTATTTTCATAGTTAACGGATTCTATTAACAGACGGTGGAGAGGAGATGTTTTAGAGAATTTTAGTCTTTTGAGGGGAGGTGAGGGATACCATTTTAAACTTGTGAAGTTTATTAGAAAAACGAAAACCTCAAGGAAGGTGAGGGGGACGTTTTATTAAAAGTTAAATCAAGTTCAAATTTAATTAAAAAGTCATGTAGTTTGAAAGTGTTAAGTAAATAGCTTTATTATTGATTAAGGTTAATTAAACATGATTAGTGGTTAATTAAGATTAATGAGGTATTGTGTAATTTTTAAAAAATTACAATATATCCCCAAAGAGCCGAAATTCTTGCAAACAAACCCAAACACCTTCTTCTTCTTCCTCTTGCCATTAACGCATCCCTCCCTTAGTTGTTGTTTCTTCTAAGCTTCGTCTACATCTTTTTCTTCCTCCTTCTTGTACATCTTCTTCTTCCCGCCATTAACACTATCTTCTTCCTCCGCCATTAACATTTTATCTGCCATAGATCCTCCTCTTCCTCCTCTTGACATTTCGTCTAGGTATGTGTATCTCCCCTTTCCATTTTATATTTCGATTTACAAAGTTTTAATGATGGATTGGGTTTGGGTTATGATTCTGATTTAGTTGTTTAGGTTGTTAGGTTGTGTTTGATGTAATACAAGTTGAAAGGAGTGAAATTTGTCGAATATTTTCTTGCATTGTGGGTAGTTGGGGGTGGTAGCACCGATTGTAGGTGGAGATGACTGAAAATGTGTTCTGGATATGATGGATCGCTTAAGTGATCTAGTATGTCTGGTATAATGCAACAGATCATAGATCGCTTAAGCGATCATGTATATGACAGAAGATCGCTTAAGCGATCTACTAAAAGTTTGGTATATGACAGCAGATCACTTAAACAATCAGGTAAATGGCAGAAGATCGCTTAAGCGATCTGCTATAAGTCTGGTGTATGGCACTAGATCGCTTAAGCGATCAAGTAAATAGCATAAGATTGCTTAAACAATCAGACTTACTTATACCAGATCGCTTAAGCGATCCAGTAAACGATATACCAGATCGCTTAAGTGATACACTAGATCGCTCAAGCGACTCTGCAGATGTTTTTTAAAATCTTTCAACCTTTGATACATCAGTTAATAATATTATTTTTTCTTGCATTATAGGTACTTAGCTATTATTAGACATGAGACAAGTTGTTTTTGGTGTTGAATATTTTGGTGAATGGGTGGAGAAAGAAAGTTGCTGGAAGTGGATTGGGAAGAGCAAAGAAGTTATACCAATTGTTGTGAGCACAGAGGTTAGTTTTGATGAGTTGATTGATGAAATAATTAGAAGAGGTGATTTGAGTTGCTCACATAGTGATATAGTTGTGAAGTATGTTTTAAGTAAAGTTTCTGAACATTATAAGGTACCTCCTGCTATATTAAAGTTGGATGAAAGTGTAAGGTTATATATGATTGATGTGGCCGATAAAGGTTTGAGGCTGATAAAGGTTCGAGGCCGATTTTAAGGGTTTCTTTTGTAGATAAACCATTGGAAGTTGGTTCAAAGGAAGGGGATAACGAGGAATTTGGTGGAGAGAATGCTGGTTTTAATTTGAACTACAAGGATATTGATTTCTTAGTTGAAAAATCAAGAATAGGCGGTGATTTGGGTGGTGAGAAGGACACTATAGAAGAGGTTGGTCATGTGCGGCAGAATGAAAATGTTGAGGAGGAGGACCCTGTACATGTTCCCGCAGATGTAGAGATTACTTTAAATACAGATTATGTAGAAGGTGTAGTTTGTGAGGAAGAGAACACTATGGTCCTTTATGGAGGTTCAGAGGGGGCAATTGCAAGTAGTAGTGAATCAGCTCATGTTTTTACGGATGGATCGGAGTTGCGCATAGGGTATTTATTTGACAACAAAGAGGAAGTGGTGAGGAAGTTAAAACTTGTTGCCGTGAGAGGTAATTTTGAGTTCGTCATCAAAAGGTCTAATTCATCGATTGTGACGGTTGCCCTAGTTAGTAAATACAGGTACGGCAAAAAAATGGTACGGGAATTTTATGGGTATAATACGGCAAATGGTAAAAAATATATTTATAAAAATTCGGCTATAAAATTCGGATATGGGAAAAATATGGTACGGGTATACACGGGTTTAATACGGTGCATTGTCAATAATACGTTTTGAAAAATACGGCAATATCAATCTTAGTTTTAACACTTTTATGGACTACCTGGTTAAAATCAATATAACATTTCAAAAGCAAAGTATTCAATTAATCAATAACACAAATACACAATATATAATTGATATTCAAATTATAATCTCTAGACTCAAACACAATATTTAGCCAAGATTCAACTATAGTGTCAAATCAAACACATAAGTTATAACAAAACCAAAATTCAAAGTCGAATAAGAGCTCCAAACAAATAAAATACACAAATAATACAACCAAGATTCAAATGATAGTTTATAACGAAAACTCACAAAGTACATAAACAACAATAAGTCAATAACAACTCAAAAAAGAGCATCGTCCAACCAAGCAATGTCATCATTATCCATTAAGTCATCCATGTAACCCTCAACTGTTGGTGTAAAATTAGCATCTTCGTCCATATGAATTTCTTCATATTCATAGTCTGGAAGCTCCCCCAATTTCTCAAGATCTATAGGTTCCAAGTCATGACTTATCGTGGAAGTGAATTTATCCATCATCATTGTGTTTATCCTCACATACACAAGTGTGTCTAGCATTTCATGTGACAACCTATTTTTTTTTTTTTTGTTTGACCAGCTTCAAAGGCACTCAAATTTCTCTCACATGATGAACCGCTACAAGGTTGACTCAGACTTTGAATGACATACTTCTTGAGCACAGGAAGATCATCCCCATTGTAATCTCACCATATTCCTGCAAATAACATAAAAAACTTTCTTGAAAATAAAGAGAGAAGCAATGTACAGAAAAGATATTGAAATTTTTTAAAACACTTACGAGGATGACTTGTTTGTAACATCGTTTTTGCCATTGCAGTAAATAAGGTAGCTGGCCTACTATGATACAACTGAACCTCTCTCATAAATGGATGCTTTTCTTCTATTAGAAGCAGGTTTTCATGAATGAAATTGATGCCATCTTTCATCTCCCTATCCTCTCTAAAATTTTGTGAGAAAAAGTAAGCTAGATTGAGAAAGGCAACTGCAGCATGTATAGGATGACTAATGTTGTTGACCCGATGATTCTCAAACAATTCCCAAATTCTCCCATACTTGCTTTGCCTCACTATTACATTTTTCTTTGATTGCAACTTTTACCCTCATCATTGCTTCATATAAGTAACCAGCAGTAGATCCATCACCATCAACCAAACGAAGAACTCGAACCAATGGCTCAATAGTTTTTATAACCTCCCTTCCTCTAGCCCAAAAATCACTCTGAACAATTTTAGTGACCCTTCTACCTGATTCGGTCTTACAATAATCAAAACCCCTCCATTCAGTTGAAGCAACAAAGAGTCGAAGTTCATTCTCCAAATCCAACACAAATTGAAGCATTAAAAAATTTGAAGCAAATCTTGTGGCACAAGGTTGTCTCAATTGTCTATCTTTGGTGAACTTTTTCATTGCTACATGAAGAACTGTGTACCGGGTCATGAACATAACTATTATTCTTGCTTCATCTGTGGCAACTTTTACCCAATTAACTTCTTCATATATCTCTTTCAAAAGAAGCTAAATTCCATGAGCAGCACACCTCATCTTATACATTCGAGGATACAATCCAATGAGCATGTCACCAGCAGATGTGAAATTGCTACCATTATCAGTTACGAATTGCACAACATGTTCTTGTCCAATTGATTCAATCACAGAAACAACAATTTATTTCAGATAAATCCCAGTTTTTCTTTCTCAAGAAACATCCAATGATTTTATAAACATTGCATCGCTAGGTGAATATGTCACAAGATTAATGAAAGATCGGTGCCTTATATTAATCCATATATCAGACATTATAGTGCAACCAGATCCAGATGTATCCCAAGAACACTTCACCATAGCAACATAGGCATCAATACCTTTTCTAGATTCTGGAATTAATTTAGTTCGAAGAGTTGAATAAGATGGAAGCTTGTATGCTACACCATATTCAGCCACTGCCTTAACAAATTCTCCAAAAGCACCAGTTTGAACAACATTAAAAGCGATATTGTTCACCACAAAACACTTAGCAATCATTTTATCAACAAACTCCTTGTCTTTTTTCTTATTCATTTCTAGTAAAGATGCTTGACTTTGACGTCTTTGGCTACCTTTAGAAAGTGGTGAAAATGGTGAATCTGTTTCCTCCTCATGATCATTAAAGCAGTAGAAGAACTGGCTGAACTTTTTAATTTTTTGTTACTTCCACTTCCAGACATAGCTAAGAATGCACATGCTTGTGTCTCATGATTGACTTTACTACAAATCTCAACATCATGGCCAATAATTCCCGACAAGTGTGCTTTAATTCTGTAAGCCCCACCACTAAATACTTTTTAACAAAATTTACATTTCCATTTATTCCCTTGGAGCTCCTCAACATGCTCCCAAATTTTGTCTTTTTTTCGTACCATATTGGTTTGAGTCTGTATTTACAAGAACATAAAAGAGAACATCATCAAATACAAAATGAAAAAAGATTGATAAAAATTAATATTAAGTAGTAGCTTCTTTTCACATTTAATTTCTTCTTTTTAATCATCACTTTTTCTTACATTCATTTAAAAGCAAAACTAGGCAATCAAATACAAATACAATCAAATACAAATATGTTATGTCAAATAACGGAAATGAGAATGACTTTATCCTTTTCACATTTTTTTTCTTACATTAAGATATTTGATGACTAGCTTAGACTTTAGAGTTTGAGCCGTGACTCTTAGTTTAACTACCAACTCAAGTCTTCCCAATAGGATCACTAGAGTGAATCAATTGTTAAATATTAGAGCCAAACTCTACCCTGAAAGCCTCTAGTGGGAACCCAAACTAGAATAATGCAATAACATGATTAGAGAATCAAACTAGAATAATGCAATAAATCAACTTTGTATCATCTCACAATTGTAACTTTTTCCTTTTACTCTAAAACCGTATCCAATTGAAAAGCCAAAAAGTTACGGAAATTAATGCATTTCATCATGCTAATTGTACATCTAAGCTTTCCATCCGTGTAAGATTTAAAAAAAAAAAAAAAAAAAAGACTAATTCTTTGAACAAGAAAAGTATTAAATTGGAAAGTTAAAGAGAGCTCAAACTTTTTGCACTTTTCTATTGTTTCTTTACTAAGGACGAGATCCAAAACAAAGCACCCTATGCACTTCAATCTAGTTATGCAATCAAAAGCAAAATGATAATCCATATATGTCTAAAACTGTACAGTACTTAAAGTAAAAGGGAACTTGAGATTTGGAACAACAAAAGAATCAGTGCATCAGGTCCCCTATGACACCAAACTCCTAAAAATGTACTACTCATCATAGGTTACTTCAAACTTACAAGCATCCCCTCAAGCCATTCATGCAACCAGACGACCAATCAAGCCTAGAGTCCACCAATCTCCATGATCATCAAAAGCCATTTTATGATTAATGTTTAAATACTTAATTATATATGCTCAACTTAGCCCAGATTATAAACAACAAACCTCTATTCCAGATAGTCTACCAATCTCCATGATCATCAAAGCCATTTTCAGACAGATATGCCATCCAAAATAACTAGCAAATTTCCAGCATAAACCAACTTAATGCACCAACATTTCCTTCCATCTTTTACAAACAAGCGTTATATTCTCTAAGACCACAGTAACAAAAACAAATATAACTCTCACAAGCATTTCATCAAACATGTTTCAAACAAATCCATCAATCCACCAACATAACAAATCCATCTATCCACCAGCCCCTCCTCCTCCTACTACTCACAAGTCACACCAACACAAACACAAGCAATCAACCAATGAGATTCAAAGAGAAGAGAAGTAGAGAACAAGTGTCAAGTGTGTACCTTGAACTTGAAGTCCCGAACTTAAAGTTGAAGCCTGGAAGAAGAGAACAAGAGATGAAAAAAACGTGAAGAATTGTGGAAGAAAAGCTGAAGAAGAATTGAGGAAGAAGAAGAACCGAAGAACTGAAGAAGAACCGAAGAAGAACTGAAAAAGAACTAAAGAAGAGAAAGCTATGTTTTAATTTTTAGTCAAAAACCCACTAAAACGACGTCGTTTTGGGGTTGAGCTTTTTTTTTTTTTTTCAATAATTCGTGAATAGTCGCGAATTATATGGGTATCCTTATTATACGCGTATAATTCGACAGATTTTACAAAATATGTAAACGTGCGTTTCATATGCGAATTATACGGTTATCCATACAATTCACGTATAAAATGCGTTTTTACTAACTAGGACGGTTATACCCGTGAGCACACATGTGGTTTAGGACATATTTCAGGTGAGCATCAAAAAGTCTTCGTTGATGTTATTGGACAATTTGTCAAAAGTCAATTCGTTGAAGGGAAAAGTCCATCTCCTAAAGACATTCAGAGACTTGTGTGCACAGAGTTGGGATGTGCTGTTAGTTACTGGAAATGCTGGAAAGGGAGACAACATACACAAAATTTTGTGAGGGGCACGCCAGAGCACGGGTACGCAATATTAGAATCGTACTGTTATATGCTTGAGTTGACAAACCAAGGTAGCAAAATGGCTTTGAAGTGGGACAAGAATATGAGATTTAAATATTTTTTTGTTGCTTACGGTTCTGCTATAAGAGGTTTTGTAAACATGAGAAAAGTGTTGACTATTGATGGTTACTTTTTGACGGAAAAGTATGAAGGTACATTGTTGGTGGCCACTGCACAGGACAACGAGAATCACACATGTCCCGTTGCATGATGTGTGGTTGACTCTGAGAATGACAAATCGTGGACTTGGTTTTTTCAGCAATTAAATACGATACTACCCGACAGTGACGAGTTGTGCATAATATCTGATAGGCACAACTCTATAAAGAAGGGGATTGCCACTATTTACCCTCAAGCACATCACAGATTCTGTATGAGGCACCTTGGTGAGAACATAAAACAAAAGTTTAAGTGTGTTGGCCTTTTTCAGACATACTACATGACAGCAAAAGCTTATCGAGTTGATGAGTTCGAGGAGCACTTCCAACAAATCTGAATAAAGGATGATAGAATTGCTAAGTATCTTGAGCATGATGTTGGTTTCGAGCGATGAAGTAGACCTTAATTTTCTGGAAGAAGGTTTGATGTCATGACCACGAACATAGCCGAGTCCATAAATTTGAAGTTGTTAATAGAAAGAGAGTTTCCAATAGTTACTATTTTTTATGCAATCTAGAGGACATTTTCACGGTGGTTCCATGAGCGTCATACGGAGTCAGATAATTTTACCACAACCCTTGTTCCGTCAGTTGGAAAATTATTGCGAGAATGTATGGAACAATCAAATGCACTATTTGCCTATCCTCTTAATGCTCAAGAGTTCATCGTGCACGGCTATGGTCTGGATGCCCTAGTTAACCTTCTTAGTAAAACTTGCAGCTGTAAAATGCTTGACATTCAACGTTTACCTTGTCCTCATGCACTAGCAGCACTGAAAAACTAATGGAAGCCGGATTTTGGCTCAAGAATTTACATGGAACTTTACTCCCTTCTTTATATGGAAAATCACTACATGTTGGCTTATTCAGAAACTATATATCCAGTTCCTCCAGAAGAGCAGTGGGTGGTGTCGCCAAAGTTGGTTCACATTATCATCCATCCACCATTCAAGAAGACAAAAAAGGGGAGAAAAAAAAGTTAAGCGTATTCCATTAGCCTCTGAGGTTCCCTAAAAGATGAATAAGTGCTTAATTTGCAAGCAAGCTAGCCACAAGAGAAGCAGTTGTCAGAATCGATCACATGCAGATCCAAAAAATTAGATTCGAAGAATGATGAAATTGAGAGAGTTGCCAAGGCCAACCGTTGAAGAGTTGTTGTTTTCAATTTTTTATGTTTTAAATTTTATCGTTACCTTGAATAAATCATCATTTATAACGTATTAAATCAAATTAATTATTTTTCATTTTCATCAATTTTAAAAAGGATTTAAGTTAGTAAAATTTCGAATATTACCTCTGAACAGCACTAATAGCTGCCCAAAGAAGCAAGACAAGCAAAATAAATATTATCAACATCATTGTCGTCTCAAGACAATCAATCAACCAATCAATTTACTGAATTAGTCATGAGTGTGGCACGTTATTAGAAACGTACCTCATTTCACAAATATGAATGGTTATGATTGAATATAAAGCTCAACCACAATATGGAATATAATTTCTCACTCAAACGTGCACAATATCAAAAGATCGGCGAGATAAGAAAAAAAATGGCCTTGGTCGCTCAAGTGATCACGAATCGCTTAAGCGAGCAAGGGTAAAAGCGAAGAATCGCTTAAGCTATCGTGCATCTGGGCAAATCTTGATTTTGCCCCGGACTTGATCACTTAAGCGATCCAAAATTGCTTAAGCGACCAAGGGTAAAAGCGAATAATCGCTTAAGAGAGACCATAAATTGCTTAAGCGGTCGTGCATTTGGGCAACTCTTGATTCTGCCGCGGACTTCATCACTTAAGCGACCAAGGGTAAAAGCAAAAATCGCTTAAGTGAGACCATAAATCGTATCAACCTAATTGACAATCTAATTGCATCAACACATCAATATCATATAACAAGAATACTAAATAAACTCAAACTCAAAAGAGGGAGAGAAATACTAAATTGCTTTTGTATTAATCTGAAATGTGTCAATTATATTCAATGACAACATTATTTACAACAAATAAATCTCCTATATACACAAAAAACAAAAGCAAGGCCGATAGCCTCCATCCCTCTTCTTCATCATTCTCTTCAGTCACTTCCCTATCCTCCAAAATTATCCGGCACACCTTCAGCATCAACACCACAACCCAAGTATCAACAACCTGACACCTAACAACACCAGCTGATCCAATTTAAGACAATCCAATTATCCAAGACAACCCAATAAGACATCATCACATAAACTACAAAATTATAAGTCCAACTTTCATACCTATTGATGACAGCATCAACAATGACTTGGATTAGGTTCTAGTAAATTAAAAGGGATTCATATGCACATGGAAGCACTCAACAGCCCAGTGCTCCTGAGAGTTGCTCATTGTTTCATCATTCAAGCCGTCCATCTGGGT